CTTTTAGTTGCCAACAGAAACCCGGCAGTGGGGTATGTGTTGCTATGAAGTTTAGGTTGGCTTCCAGATTTTTCTTTGTAAAGATTAGGGTTAGAAGGACACGTGGTTCCTTCTATCTGAACCGCTATCTTAATTAATTCTGGTTCATGTCTGAGATATTAATTCAAATGTACTTTCCGGGCACATTTCCTAATTTGTAAGGCTATATTTAGGTGCTAGGAGGGTTGTGGCACCATGTAACTTTTATTCACAGCACTTGTCACAGTTATAAATCTACATTAGTTGTGCCCTGAATAATGCTCATCTCCTCCCCTGAATCCCTATCTCCACATAAGAATCATATTTTAATATTTTTATTATTATATCCTCAATGTCTGGCTCCTAGGACATAGTGGATGTTCCAAAAATATTTGTTGATTGAGTAATGAGCTATTACATAAATGAATAAATCAACTAAATAATGAGAAAGCATTGATATATGGGATCACACAGTTCTCTCTCTCCTTTTCTGGTAAATTCTAACAGTTTGTAGGGCATTTCCTAGACACTATTGTAGGAAATTCCCCATGGCCAAGAGCCAACATTTGGGAGATGAAGTTAGAAACTCAGGTACCTAGAACTGTATGTACAGTTGAACCAACACCAAGGAAGTCAACAGAATTTTTAAAAAATGTTTTCAGGCTTCTGGGCTCAATTTTCCAGAGGGTTCTTTGATATTACAATTTTTTTCAGTCTTCACTTGAAAATATCCTTACATAAACAAAAATTCACCCATAAACATACAACCCACATGCTAATTCTTACATCTTTCCAAAGTTGACTCAACTACAAGATTTTTCTCCTTTCCTATTTATCCTGAAGTAGGAAATTGACTCTGACCTATTGAAAAGTGATTGGGCCTCTTTGTCCCAGGTCACTATCCCATATCCTACTCCTACCAACCTCCCCTTTTCTCCTCACTTACTCTTTTCCAATTTCTCCTTTCTTTGATTTTATCTCTCCTTTTCAGTGCAGGAAAGTCACTACTTTATCTCTTCTATGCTTTCCACCCAGCTCTTTTTTTGCAATCCCTTGCACCCCCAAGGGCTGCCTGCAGATGAATGGTCAATGGCTAAAATCAAAGTAGCTTAGAAAACTGTCAAGGTTTAAAAGAGCATGTTGTTGATAAATATGCTGGAATTTGGATGTGTGGGGGAATCTTGAGGTTAAAGAGAAACCTGAACAAACTGGCTTGCCTCTCCTCCCTCTGATTTATCTGATAGAAGACAGGAAACAAACTTCTTTTTTGGGGGGATGGGGGTACCAGGGATTGAACCCAGGGGCACTTGACCACTGAGCCAAATCCCCAGCCCTATTTTGCATTTTATTTAGAGACAGGGTCTCACTGAGTTGCTTAGCACCTCACCATTGCTGAGGCTGGCTTTGAACTGGAGATCCTCCTGTCTTAGCCACCTGAGCTGCTGGGATTACAATCATGGGTGGCGGGTTTCTGTTCTCGCGACTAAAAGGCTCAGGGGTCACTCTAGTTAAACTGGGCTAACTGGGCTACAAGAAATAACCACACAAGAGACACAGATACCTTTTTCTTTGGGGTCGCTATGACGGCTCCTCTGACCTTAAGGGTCTGCAGAAAGAGAGAGCGAGAGCACGCGCTGACCCCTTTTATTGAGGAGAAGCTATTCAAATGAGGCAAGGGGTCGGGTTTCAGGGGGCTGAGTCTGTCTTCATGATGTCCACTGTCAGCAGGTTGACTGACACCTGGGTAGGCCACACCCAAGGGCACAGTAAGAGAAGGGGACACACACAAGGCACTTCCATGGAAGATTCTACCCTAAACAGGGCAAGGCGTTATATTACAAAGGAACAGGTGAGCATAGCTTCACCCATGGGGCTGTAGCAAGACACACCCATTTCTGTGACTGAGCGCCTCAGCACCCAGCTGGGGAGTGTAACTCAGTCACCCATAAGGTTGGCCTCCCACACATGGGCCACTGTGCCTGGCCAGAAAACTCTTTTTTAAAATGTAAACTTTAGACTGTGATATCAGGAACAGTTAAAGTCAGGACTATAATCTGAGGAGGAGGAGAAACAATTGCTCACATCCAGAAAGATGAGGATCATAGGATACTGTGTCAGGGATAGAGAGAAGGAGACTATATCCCAAGTAGAGGAAGAGGGAACTCAATCATATCAATCCTTTTTCATCCTTCAATTAGTTTTAGTTTTCTTTGACTGTATAACAACTTACAACCAACTTTACTAGATTAAAACAACACAAATTTATTATCTCACACTTTCCATGGATTGGAAGTCAGCACCCCCAAGGCTGGTGTGATAGTCAATTTTAAGTATCAATGTATTGAGCTAGAGGATGTCCAGATAATTGGATGTGTCACAGGAGAGCAGGGAGCAAAGTCTCCAAACCTCCATTTTTGTGTTCCAATGAAAGAAAACTTAAAGTCAGACACTGAAAGTCCTGTAAGAGAAATTTATTATAAGTGAAGATAACATGGAAGTGAGGTGAGATTGGGGTGACAGTAGAGGGAGGCTCAAGCAGAGAGCACTCTCAAGGGAGAGTGGCCATCTCCAAGCAGAGAATGACAAAGGAAACTCTGTCATCTTCAAATTTATTGCTGTTTTATGGTTGTTTTGAGAATTGGGGTCCTCCTTCAGCAACATGCACCAATAAGGAGTTCAACTCCTCTCTTGCCCCCTGCACTGGAGTTTTTGACCTTAGTTGGTCCTCTCTGGAACTGTCATGGTGGCCATCCTATTGGGGGGGGGACTTCATCCACAAGTCAGTCCTATTCATGTGGATACTGGGGTCAGTGCCGGGTCAGTGATGGGTCAGAGGTTACCATGCTATACCTGTGCCACTAAAGAATCCCCCTTCTGAAATAGTAGGAGACCCTTGGGTCATAATTCCTAGTTTTATTTTGACATTTATAGGTCCTGTTAAAAGTTAATCCCATAAATCCTTCTTTCTTGATGTATTCCCCCAATGAACTCCTTTTACTTTTGTTTATCCTGAAAGTTTGTGTACCTATGTTTTTCTACAGGTTATCTGCTACAAATTATTTACTCATCTGCCTTGACAGTAACTTAAAGACAACTTTAAGAGTAACTTAAAGTAAACCCATGACCTTGCTATGCATTCTATTGCCCGGTACTAACTACTACCTAACAGGTGCAATTATTTCTAGGTGTATCTGACAGTGTTTGGGGGAAGATAGTGGCAATGTTATCCATTATCAGCATCAGTGGGCATCAATCTATTGAGGGTCTGATGAGGGGGGAAAAATGGCAAAGGAAGGGCGAACTCTCTCTTCTGGAGCTGGGACACTCATCTTCTGTCTTCTGACACCACAGCTCCCAGTTCTCAGGCCTCTGAACTCTGGGATTTATGCTAGACCCCTCCTGCCCTGGCCTTTAGACTGAATCACATCACTGGCCTTCATGATAGCATGAGCAAATTCCCATAATAAATCTCCTTCCACATCTATATGTACCTATATGTATCTATATTTCTCTGGAGAATGCTAGCTAATACAGATGGATTCTCTGCTCAGTGTCTTACAGAATTGAAATCAAGGTGTTCATTGGGTTGTATCCTAATCTAGAGGTTCCCCTAAGGAAAGATAGTATTCCAAGTTCCCTTAGATCATTGGCAGAAATCATTTCCTTGCAGTTGTAGAACTAAGGCCCTTGTGGCTTTCTTAGCACTAAACCAAAAACCACTCTCAGCAAACAGAGGCAGGACCCAGGTCCTGGCCAAGTTGCCCCTGCACAGGCCCCCCGACCTTTGGAATCTGACTTCAGGAAAGGTACAGTCCCTTTTAAAGGTTCCTGATTAGGCCAGGCCCACTCAGGAAAATCACCATTTTTATGAATTTAAAGTGGACTGACTTCCGGCCTCATTGTGGAATGATATTTCCTCAAATCACAGGTTTCTTCCGCATCAAAGAGGGTATGTTGAAAGGATATCTCACCAGAAGGCAGAGACAATGGAGGCCATGCTGAATTCTGTTAACCACAATATTTAGCTATATAACTTGCTTTGCTGTATTCAAGGGGTGATGTCAGAAGTCTAGGAAAAAATCATTGTTGGGGTTGTTTTCAAATAAATGGGAAACATATAACTCTGATTTCTGGAACAACAACAACAACAACAACACATTAGAAAATGTTCAATAATATTAGGGAGACTAGGCAAAAATTGTCCTGAGGGTAGGCAGTCTAGGGGAGTCTTTCTTATGAGCTCAGTGAAGAAGTCCTGAGAATTATATGCAAATAAAAGACGGAGAAGTCAACAACAGCAGATGCAGCCACCGCTGGGATAACTAGTGGTTTATTCATCAAAGGAAGGTGCAAAACAGGGTACGCTTGACTGGGGTAAAAAGGAACACCGTATTCGTGATAACCTCGCCATCTCTCTGCCCTGCTGTAAATTCCAGCAAAGAAAGGAGGCTGGGTCTGGGTCTCTGATCCCTCTCCAGTGCCTAGGGTGGCACGCACTTCGAACGTACCAAATAATTGTTCCATGAACGCAATGAACACACGAAACAGCGCACTAAGAAATTACTTCTGCTCCAATCGATCGCTTTTTCTGCAGAAATGTCTCCAATCACAGACTCTCACGAGGATGGGTCTGTTCACTTAGCACGCTCCTCCACTTTTTTCGCCTTACAGGAAAAGATTTATCACGTCTCCAGGACGAACGTCCTCTCCCTATAAATCGATATTGTCAAATCGAGTTTTTCTCTCCCACCCCCCTCCGATTTCTTTTATTATCTTCTCTCTCTCCAGGTTACACGGCAGTTGGCTGCACAGACTTATTCGGAAAAGCAACTCTGAATTCTGTAAGCAGAAGTCCCTGCTGGGCGTGCGGTGCCAGGCACCGGTTCCCACCCGCTAACCGTGCGCAGCTTCAGGACCCCTGCTTCTCGGGCTTCCGCCCCCGCGTCCCCCGAGGGCGTCCCAGAAGCCCCCGCGCCCCCGCTGTACGGAGGGCTTCGGCCAAGATGGCCGCACCCACGGGCGCAATCTCACGGGCGCCGCCATCGCAGCCCGGGCCCACCGAGGCCGCGCTCCCGGTGGCCGCCATGTCGGCCTCTGGCTGCAGCCAGATCCGGACAAAGCCCGAGACGGAGGATCTGAAGAAGAGTGCGGGAAAGGCCCGAAAGGCCGGGCGCCCACTGGAGATGGCGGCCTCCGAGCCCAAAGCCAGCGGCGCGGTGAGAACGGCAATGGGCTGGGGGCGGTTTGGCTGTCAGAGATGGTCAGTGATTGGAGGGTTACTGTGGTCGGTGAAGTTAAGGTTTGGGAATTGGAGTCGATGCTGAAGGGTCTTTCTGGAGGTCGGTGCTCAGAGGGATCCGGGTCGGAGATTGCTGTAGTTTTAGGAGATCAGCGTTTCCAGGCATCTGCGAAGGCAGTGATGGGCAGGAGGCTGCGGCCGCACTGATAGGTCCGGGTTTCCAAATCTGGGGGCATCAGAAATGGGGGCTTCGTGGTGTGTCAGAGACTGGGAAGGCCTGGGGGAGCCAGCGATTGTGGGTACCTGATAGTGGATGGCTAGAGACTAGATCATCCAAGAAGGGCAGTGTTAGAATTGGGGACCAGGGTGATGGGGAGTACTGTGAGGATCAGAGGTCTGGGCTTTGGGGTCTGTGGAAGTCTAATTAGCATTATCTGTAAAAGGTGGTGATTAGTGTGATATTATGGGTAATGGAGGAACCAGGACGTCAGTGGGAGGATAGGGGTTGGTGGAATGTGGGGATGGTGGAGGGTTTGCATGCCATCTGGGAGAAGAGATGGTCAGTGATTAGGTGGTGGCATAACTGTGCTACCAGTGATGAGGTGATTAGTAGGAATTAATGATTGAAGGTCCTCTACGATTCTGGGACTAGGATCCTGAAAGGGTCAGGAATGTGAGGGATTGCAGGGTTTAGTGATGGAAAGTTCTGTAGGGGTCAGTGATTGGAGTTCTATGGAGGTTAATGATTGATTGTTCTGTGAGGAATGGTAATTGGGAACTTGTTGGGTTCCAGAAATAGGGGAAGATTGTGAATGTTAGTGACTGATGAGTGTTTGGGTATCAATGATTAGAAACAGTCAGATTGTAAGGTAGACACCTATCTTATGCCAGGGAGAATGACATGTGGCCACAGAAGTAGGAGGAAAACTTGTGTGGTGTCAGAGAAACATAGAGAAAGCTTTTCAATACAATGCAAGTAACCAATTATGTCATGTGCTCTTGTGAATCCCAAAATATGACTATGGAGAATTTGACTTTTCCATTATGTAGCTTAATGGTTATTTTGATTAGAACTGTTCCAGGAAGAGGTGGTAATAAAATCCTGTTGGAGTGAGTTGAAAGAATCAAGAGATAATGAAGTTAAGACAATTTATGAGGGATTTTGCTGGTAAAGGAAGTAGAGAAATTAACATTGGATAGAGCATGAAGTCAAGAGAGGGTTTTCTTTTTTGTAGTGGGGATGAACACAGTGATACTTTGCCACTGAGCTACATTTTGTTTTGTTTTGAAACAGAGTCTCCCTTAATTGCTAAGGGTTACACTGAGTTGCTGAAGCTGGCTTTGAACTTGCAATCCTTCTGTTTGGGATATAGACTTGTGCCACCTACCTCAATCAGCAAGAGAAGGTTTTCTTTGATAAATAGCATTGAGGCAACTTTATATGTCAATGGAAATGATCCAGCAGAAATAGAAAAAATAGTTGATACAAAAGAGAAAAGGTAATTGCAGGAGTGAGGTCCTTTGGAAGGCAGGTGGGAATAGGATCTAGAACCCAAATAGATCCAGAACAATGGCATATGCCTTTAATCTCAGCAATTCATATGGCTGAGACAGGAGGATTGCAAGTTCAAGGCCTGCCTCAGCAACTTAGTGAGACCCTGTCTCAAACAAAAACAAAACAAAACAAATCAAAAACAACAAAGGGAAGGGGACTGGGTATATAGCTCAGTGGAAAGGACCCCTGGGTTTAACCCCCAGTTCCAAAAAAAGAGGAAAAAGTAAAGAAAAAAGAAAGAAAGAAAAAAACACAAATGGAAAAACTGGCCTTCGTGAGAGAAGGAGAAAGACTTCTTCCATTTCCTCAGAAGGGAATGCACCTTACCTATGGATTTGGAAACAGGTTGGTGGAATTGGTGATTAAAGGGCAAGGTAGTTCTGGTCTGTTTGCATTTGTTTTGTCTTTGAAGTATAAGGCAAATTCATCAGCTGAGAATGGGAAAGAAGTGGATGTTGGAGATTTCAGGAAAGAGGTTTGCAGTAATATCCTGGAAGGAGGAAAGGGTAAATACTCCGATTGCTATGGTTTTGGATCCCCTTTTGAGATATGTATTATAAATCTGAAGTGAGTCCAGTCAGTACAGTTGTTTGATTTTTCTCTTGCAATGTTCAGCTGCAAGATTACAGGTCGATTGCAAGAGGAGAATTAGATTTAGCCCGGGTTGATGCTTCAATAAGTGAGTGTGGTGAGGACGGGCAAGGAAGTTAAGCTTTAAAGTTTTCAGTGGCGTATGTGTGGTGCTTGTTTATGGACTCTAAATAAGAATGAAAGTCGTTAAAGGCAATGTGGGGCAGAAGATTGTGAAAAAGGGGTTGGGATCCGTGAAGTTTGGAGAATGAAGTAGGAGTGCTAGGGCAAGTGGGCTGGCACGAAATGATGGTCAGGGGTAGAATGTTTTAGGTAGAGATTTTGTAGGTGGCATAATGATGGCAAGATATAAGGGGTGTATGTGGGGGGTGATGGGTATGCGATTGAGTTTATGCAAGAAAAGATTGCTGGCATCAGGAAAGAGCGAGGCTAGGCTATTGAACAGCTCTTCTCCGTGGATATGGAGGTAGTAGAATGAATGATGGCAGGAGCTCTGGCAAAGAGTAAGCTAGTGCTAAAGTTTTCAGTGAATGAGGCAAGATGACTTCAGAAGGGTTCACACAGCAGGCCTAAAACTGCTGTCCTTCGACAGGCCTTCTTGCAAGGTTGACCTTAGGGTGGCATCTGGGAAATTAAATTTCATCAGGATTCCCAACATTCCTAGAAATGATGGGAGAGGCTCCCTATGGCTAATGAATGTAAATAATGTGGTTTATGCTGAACACCTGATTTCTTTCTGGAGTCTAGACTTTATGTTCATGCAAGCACAGGATCCCTATATTGCCACCAATAAAAACCCTTGCCTCTGAGTCTCTTATGAGCTTCCCTGATAGAAAACATCCCACATGTGTTTCCAGAACTCAATTCTGGAGTAACTAAACATGTTCCCTATGACTCCAATGGGAGAGGACTCTTGGATGCTTGCGCTTCTCATGCCAATTAACTGATTTTGTTTTGCAACCTTTTGCTGTAATAAATCATAGCTATGAATACATCTATGTGCTGAGTTCTGTGAGTTTCTCCTATGGATCATCAAACTAAGAAAGATTAATGGGTTGAAGTCTGGTGACAATCTAAACAAGCTAGGGATTGTGAAGGTGGATGGAGGTAATTATTTACCTCATCTTTGGACCTTGAGGTACATAAGTCATGGGTGGGGGGACAACCTCCACTTGAGGCCACTGTAAGGAAGCAGGAGCCTAGGATACAGGTAGATTTTAGTTAAAGCAAGTAGGTGATAACAATGGCTAAAGAGGTTGAGGTTGAGGGCAGAGTACTGACAGCAGTTAGGATTCTGTAATGGCTGCTGTTTGAGAGTCCTGGTGGTGTTAGTAATTGGGCTCAGTGATAGGATGAGGGATTTGGAGACATGGGAGATAGAGATCCATGTGCCCTATGGGTATAAATGGTTGAGGAACCTATGGGAATATGTGATTGGGGTGTCTCGGGGAAAGCGATTGGGGGAATCTGCTGTGATTGCTGGGGTGGGTCATTTTGGAATCATTGGGTCACGATTAAGGAGAGCTGTCCTGGCTCAATGACTGGAAGGCCTGTGACCATCAAAGATGGGGAATATTAGAAGTCAATGAGTAGAGGTCTATGGGGTTAGAAATTAGTGACATATGGAGGTCTGATTGGTGGTCTCTCTGGTAAGGAGTTATCTTTAAATGTTGAATAAACTTGTTTGAATTTATATATTGTTGGTATCAAAATTCTCCAAAATTCATGTCATCTTCTGCTTCTAGAAGATAAAAACATTAATGTGTTTTGATTTCTCCCCTACCTCTCACCCCACCCAGGTATACTCCTGCTTATTTTTCTCACATCATTACTTCTCGATTTTAAGGATATTTTCATAACAGTTGCACATAAACATTGCAAATTACTTAGACGTAATGAGACAATATACTGGCTTTCTTATGTTTTTAAAGTTTGAATCTGGAAAGTCTCCCGTGTGTTGAAGACTTGATCCCCTATGTAGTGATGCACAGAGATGGGATTATGGAAGTGATTGGATCTTGAGGGCTCTAAGTACACTCCTAGTGGATTAATCCATTTGGTGGATTAATTCATTTGAATGGACTACTAGGAGGGAATGGAAACTGTAGTCAGGTGGGGCATGGTTGGAGTAAAGAGGTCATGGGAAACATGCCCTTGGGGACTATATCCTGGCCCTTGCCTCTCTCTCTGCTTCCCAGCTGCCTCGAGCTGAGCAGTTTTCTTCCACCACACCCTTCTGCCATGATGTTCTGCCTTGCTTCAGGCCCAAAGTGATGGAGTTAGACTGATGCCTCTGAAAGCATGAGTCAAAAATAAACCTGTCCTCCTTCAAGTTGTTTGTGTTGGATATTTTGGGCACAGGGATGAAAAACTAATACATCATTCATTGCTTTCCATGATGTAGTTTTTCCCAATATTGAAAAATTTGGAATTTGTACCCAGTTTTCTTTTAAAGATTTCTCTTTTGCCTCTTTCTCCTTTCCTGGTTCTCTCTCCCTTTGCTTCTCCTTCTCTTCATTTTTCTTTATTTCTCAATTGTGTAAGTAATGTAATTTCTGGATGCTTACATGCCTAAGATGTCTTATTTTTGCTTCCAAATATAAATTATTTTGCCTAGTAATAAATCAACAAGGTTCTTAATTATATTCTTATGATTCAGGACTCTGTATAAACTAGATATTTCCATAGCCATTTAGAAACCAGTTATAGAAGAAAAAATAAAGACTGAATTTTCTTTCTTTCTTCCTTTCTTCCTTCCTTCTTTTCTTCCTTCCTTCCTTCCTTCCTTCCTTCCTTCCTTCCTTTCTTTTATTGTCTTCTCTCTAATATTTGTAAATTTTGTCTTCTTAAAAGAACAAATTAAAAATAAAGATATTTTAATATTTCTTAATTTGGTTTTTGTTTCTCAAAAAGAAATACAAAATCAGGCAAAGAATAGAAACACTGGGCTGGGGATGTGGCTCAAGCGGTAGTGTGCTCGCCTGGCATGCATGAGGCGCTGGGTTTGATCCTCAGTACCACATACAAATAAAGATGTTGTGTCCACCAAAAACTAGAAATTAATATTAAAATCTCTCTCGCTCTCTCTCTCTTTAAAAAAAAAAAAGAATAGAAACACTGACTGTTGTCAATAGTAAGTGGTCAAGGAAGGAACAAGTCCCCAAACATGGGTGACACTGAACTGAACAGGTATATGCTATTACAGGGATCGGTAACATTTAAAGATGTTACTATGGCTTTTACCCAGAAGGAATGGAAGCAACTTGAACCTGCTCAGAAGAACCTGTACAAAGATGTGATGCTGGAGAACTACAGCAACCTAGCTTCAATGGGTAAGGACAATTCCCTTGTAATTAAAAATGTGTTCACCATGATACATTCTTCCTGAAGCCCTTGATAAGTGTGGCCTTGATTTTTGTTTTAATCCCTTTTGGGTACTAGGCAGGACCACTGCCTTCAAAATGGAAGCTCTGCTTAATTGCAGCCCATGGACAAGCACATTGGGAAACTTCAGGAGCTGTGTATTCCTTCACCTTGAAAGGCCCTGAAGTGCAAACAATGAGGTTTGATTCCTGAGATGGCTCTTCTAACTCTCAATTTCTACCTTTTCTCATAAGCAGGGTATCAAGCTCCCAAACCAGACATGATCTCTAAGTTGGAAAAAGGAGAAGAACCATGGTTGGGTAAGGGGAAGAAACCCAGTCAAAGTCGTCTGAATAAAAAAGCAAGATCCAAGCAAGTAGGAACCAGTAGAAGTAAGTTCCTAGTTTCTTGGTGGTAACTTAGGAATTCTTCAAAGAAAAATTTACTCTTAAATTATTCTTGAATTATTCTAGACTATATTTTTCTTTTTTTAAAAAAATATTTATTTATTTTTTTAGCTTAAGGTGGACACAATATCTTTATTTTATTTTTAGCAGTGCTGAGAATTGAACCCAGTGCCTCACGCATACCAGGCGAGCGTGCTACTACTTGAGCCACATCCCCAGCTCCCTATTTTTTTCTTAAACAGGAAATAGCTGTAGAAAAATATCAGAGTCTATCAGAGGAAGAAGAGTTCAAACAATGAAGATTTCCTACTTAGAGACTCTAATATCTCTTCCTTCTTCATGAACCTGTCCACATGTGAGATCATGCAGAGATCACTGTAGGAGTGAGCCAGTGTTACTTACGGGAGTTTGTGCCACTTGTATTAGTCAGCTTAGACTAGGTTTTGCTTCATTTAGGAACAATCCCCAAATCCCTTTGGCCTACAATAGGAGATTTATTTTTTGCTCAAGCTGTATTACTGTTCTACATGATCTCCATTTGGGAAGCTGTGCTGAAAGAGCATTCTCTGGCAAATTTTGGTCTCTTGACAGAAGGGAAAAATTGGAACCACATGATAGCTCTTAAATTACTGCTTGGAAGTGGTAGATTCACCCACTTTTTTTTCAGGGTGGGGGCGATACCAGGGATTGAACTCAGTAGTACTCAACCACTGAGCCACATCCCCAGGCTTACTTATTTATTTATTTTGTTTAGAGACAGGGTCTCACTGAGTTGCTTAGCACCTTGCTGTTGCTGAGGCTGGCTTTGAACTTGCACCTTCCTACCTCAGCTTCCTGAGCAGCGGGGATTACAGACATGTGCCACCCCACCTGGGGGCACACATTTTATTGGTTAGAGCAAGCCATTTGGCCACTCCTGAGTTCAACAGGGTGAGAGTGTTTAATCCTTCCACAGGGCTGGGTGCTACAGTTCAAATGGCCATGTATTGGGGAGGGGCTTAGAGGTGGAATCCTTCCATAGGTATCAGTAATACAGACTATCATACCATTCCAATTGTGGAAGGAAAAAGCTGAAACCCAGGGCCCTAAACCTTTGCTTCCAGCCCCTCAGCCGAATGCCTAACTGGTCATTCGGTCCTTCCATATAACCCCTTTTCCTTATCTATGTGCTCCATTGCTCAGCTTTCAGAATACCCCTCTTGGCTTTTCTCTCAATCTCATTCCTATTTACCTTATCTAAAGCATTACTTTTTAAAAATCCACCTTCCTTATATCCTTTGTCTTTCTACCGGTATCCCCACCCCATGCTCTAATTCCCCATGTGTCAAATTCTCTCCTATGTATCCAGACACTCTTGGATCTTTCTTTTTTCTAAATCTCTTGGCAAGATACTCCTGCCCATACATGACTTTCTGTTTCCCTCCTTTCATTGTGAAATGTTCTAGATCTGTGGTCTATAGCTTGTCATCCTGCCCATTTTCCCCTTAACACTTGCAGTCAAATTCTAAGAATTCATTCCTCCCTAAGTTTCTGACTTAAAAGTCACCACTGCATGCCTTCCAGGATGGACTTGAATAGTATTGATTAGCCTGAAGTTCTTGCCCACCTAATTGCACCACCTGAATTAGATCTTATCCTCTGTCCTAAGTGCTTCTTAGCCATTTACTCACCAGCTTCTCCTCCTTCCCACTTGCTAAAATGTTCCTTAGGTTTTATCTTCTATCTGTTCTTTTTTTTCTAGTATATGTCCATTAGAGGGATCATCTATTATGCAACTACAAGCTTTTTATCCCGTACTGGTGACTTCCATTTGTCTTTGTCTTACATTTCTATATGACCTGCTTATTTATAAGTCTTCGAGTGTCAGAAATTGAAAGCTTTGTCTTTCTTTATAAATTAGAGGTTTCTTTTATCTTTGCTGTTTTTATTAGTGTCTACTCTCATTTTAGGCCTGTCTCCCATGGATTACTGTCCTTTCCTCAGTTCCTATATGTTTGTTGTCAGTTCTCACTGACATCACACAAATTAGGTTCACATTATCTTCCTAAACTGGTCCAATTCTTGAGTAGATTTATTGAATCCATTTTTTTTTTACAATTCATCTTAGAGGTTGCCACACACTAAAATACTCAATTATTTATGTCAGTATAGTCCTCAAATTAGCAGAATGTCTACTATATCTTTTAAAGTTTTATCTGACCCTGATTTGTCTAAAACCCCCATGAATTTCCTGAGATGAGAGGAACCAGTCCTTCAAAGGACAAGTGGAGAGACCCCCATGATTTTCTGACCTGTCCATGAGCTCTTCCAGCTTTGACTATTCTTTTATTGTTGACACTTGGTATTACTAACTAACTTGGTATAACTAGAAGGTAATCCTGAAAAATATATCTTTGTCATGCTACATTGACTATTTTCTTGGTTCAGGTTCTTATATAATAATTAAGGGCTAGGGATGTGGCTCAAGCCGTAGCGCACTCGCCTGGCATGCGTGCGGCCCAGGTTCGATTCTCAGCACCACATACAAAGATGTTGTGTCCACCAAAAACTAGAAAATAAATATTAAAAAATTCTCTCTCTCTCTCTCTCTCTCTCTCTCTCTCTTTAAAAAAAATAATAATTAAAGCTTCTTTTATGAAGAAATATTCTTTTCCCTCTAAGTAATTTGTTGGGCCTAATGAGCTCCATACTAAGTTTATGAAGCAACAAATATTCTAGCTTAAAATTAATTTTTTAATTGCTGTCTCAAATTTAGGAAAAGCTTCCAGTCTTAATCAAGTGCTTGACTAGATCCAACTGTCCCCTAATATGATGTGGTTATTACGCCAATTCTATAGTGCAGATTCTCCTCCTGTCCTATCCCCATGGTGAATTTCTCTTTTAGTGCTTTCTATCTTTTTCTGGGGAACAGATGTCAATTGTGATTAGCACAAACACATCATTTTAAGAGATTCTTATAATGTTACATGTCAAGGGGAAAGGTTTGAGTTTTGATCCCTTTCTTCCCAGAAGGAAATTTGCCCCCATCTTCTCTATGCTCCTCAGGTGATACAGTCTTGTCATGCTACCTAGGAAGTTTTTTTATTTAGCCCTCAACCCGCGCCAGCTTCATGAAAGAAGGTTTGAGTCATGAGAAACCACTAGGGAGTTTTAAATTAAAGAGACAAGACTCTAATTACCTTTAAACCAGCTTCAGGACGGCTCCTCCTAGCTCCAGCCTCAAGCCACCTATTGTGGTATCGAGGTTTACTGAAGAGGCTAGAGAGAGAGCGAGAACACACCAGGGAGTTGACTTATTGGAGAATAAAAAATTCTGGGGAAAAAATCCCATCCAGTAAAGATTAAGAGGGGCAGCATCTCAAGGTCAGGGGCGATGATTGGGTCTTCCAGGCAGTGACCAGACATGCCTCTGCACAGACAAGCTCTCGGACCTAGAGAAGGGTGGGAAAAGCTCTGACACAGCTGTGCCTAAGCGCCTCTCGCCCAGCCTGGGAGGTAACTCAAATCACGTGCGAGGATGGCCTCCCACACTTTTAAACTCTTTCTTCCAGGGTGCTGAATGTCTTTAAACTTTTCTAAATGAAAAGCAGTTAGCAGCTCTGCTTCTCTAGTCTCCTTACTATAACTGTACCTCCAAAAGTTCTGCAGGAACTTAGTTTCTAAATGTTCTTGAGAGAAGAGTAACATTTCCTGGCTATCTATTCAGATACAATAACTCTTTTCTGTTTGAATCCAGTTTTCATTTTTTCCATGTAATGTCCATTTATCATGAAGATGGCTATTTACTTTCTCTCTTCTCTTTCTCAGATCATGGAGATTCATATTTGTGTATGTGTGTCTCTCTCTGACTCTTTTTATTCTCATTTGTAAGCTTTTTCTGTATTTTCATGCATGTATCTGTAAAAGGCTGCCCCAAAATGACAGCCCCTGTTCCTAAGCTTATAGTTTTTTTTCTTTTGGGGATTGACTCAGGGGTACTCAACAGCTGAGCCACATCCCCAGTCCTATTTTGTATTTTACTTAGAGACAGGGTCTCACTGAGTTGCTTAGCACCTTGTTGTTGCTGAGGCTGGCTTTAAACTCACAATCCTCCTGCCTCAGCCTTCCGAGCCACTGGGATTACAGGAGTGCACCACCACACCCAGCTTAAGTTTATAGTTTTTCACATGTGGTATCCATAGTTAGCTAATAAAAGTTTTTGAATTTCAATTCCAAATTCTTAGGAGAAACAATATTGTTGGACTATCAATGGCCTAGGATTTACCACTGTTCAATAATTGTTTTCAGCTAAAAGTTGGATCATACAGTGCAAACATGGCTGCCTACTCCTGTTGGTGTGAGTGGTATCCTCAAATAAGGGGAATAGTGGTAAAGAAGATATCTCAAAATATGTAGTTGTGTAACATATGGGGGAAAGAATATGAGCAACTACTTAAAGCTAGGAATAAACTTAAAAATTATAATTGGCAATTAGAATTACCTGACAAGAACAAGGGTGTGTACTCCATGGCAAACTATTAGAAAACAAATGTGTATGTACACTAAATCCAGATAGTGTAAAGTTTGTTTGCCAAGCTAATTACAGCAACTTTTACTATTTGGTTAAGGACTTAGGGAGCTCAGAGGACCTGTAGGGTTTTTTTTTGTTGTTGTTCCTAGTACAAGAAGGTCCTTATTACATTGGTCATGTAGCAGTGGCACACCCTTTCCTGCTTCTTCCCTCAGTCACCTATTAGCTCCTCAGTACTCTTTAATAGATTTACCTTAGATTCTGTACCCTAGTTTACATTAACTAGCCTTAATAGAGGAATAAATAAATAAATAGAGGAGTTTATGATAAGGGCATGTGTTTACATCTCTGTAACCTAAGGGCATATACTTCAGCCAAATATCACAAGGAACTAGTAATTAAGAGACCACTGAGAACTGAAATTACGTAAACAGTACCCTTGAGGACCTACAGTCTTACATTTCTGCTTCTCTATTGTATGTTTCACTCTTTCTACTCAGAAGCTTTTTTATATAGATAAAATATGGCTTTACTAGTACTTGTCTTAAGTCATTTTAAAATATAATCACCAAATGGAGACTACATTTTTAGGAAGAAAAATCTTATTGGAAATCCTGGGTTAGCCAAATGTGTCTCCAATTGACCATGAAGAGTTGAAATAATATATTTTAGGTCACAGTTACCAAATACTCTGGGTAACTTAGTAGTTATAAGAGGTGGGCAGCTAGAACTGAGAAGAAAGCCTAAAAGTGTCACCTGCAATCACAAGCTTTTCTTTTTTTTTTAAAGGATGCTAATTTTTAAATTTTATTTTTTAGTTGTAGTTGGACAAAATATCTTTATTACTTATTTTTATGTGGTGTTGGGGATTGAACCCAGGGCTTCACCCATGCTAGGCGAGCGGTGTACTGCTGAGCCACAACCCCAGCCCCAATCATAAGTTTTTTTTAACTATATTTATTATTCTCTGTTCATTGCTCCATGTGTTTATTTAATCTTCTATCTCAGAAGTTGCAAGTTCATATTTTTAAGTAGCCAAAGTTGTTGTCAGTTTCCTTTCCCTGATTTTACTACAGCATTCTCTCCTGCCCCCAAGTTTAAGAGGATAGGGACATTAGCCTTTGATACTTATTTTACATTGGGATATTAGGGTTAAATAAAGATTTACTTTTGTTTTTTCTTTAAAAAGATTTATATTTTCTTTATAAAACTTATAAAAAAACTTAAGCAAGAGTATAAAAATTAATGGGAATTCTTCATTGAATTTCATTGTAGAAGAAGAACAGCGTGATGATGATCAGTTGGAGAATAACCAGAAATCTCAAAACAAACCCATTAAGGAAGTTGCCTTTAAGAACAGAACTTTGAATAAGAAGAAAGGCAGTGAGTGTGGTTCATTGGGGAAAAAAATTAATGTGAGTACAAAACATGTTTCTTCAAAAAGGGGACTTTTTAAATCTGATTCACATGGGAAGAATTTGAAGCAAAATTTAGACTTACCTGGCCATAGAAAAAACTGTGCAAAAAAGAAACCTGATGTAGCTAAAGAACATAGGAAATCATTCAGTCAGAGCTTATCTGATAAGAAAGACACAAATCAAGCTGGAAAGAAATGTGAGAAATTATCCAAACAGAGTTCACCTGACAAGCATGACAAAACTCAGACTAGGAAGAAATGTGAGAAACGATGCCATCATAGCTCACCCCATACTAAGCAAGGCAAGATTCAGTCTGGAGAGGAACATGAGAAATCATTGAGCCCTAGTTCATCCAATAAACCTGACAAAACTCAAGCTGGTTTGAAACCCTATGAATGTAACCAGTGTGGGAAGGTTCTCAGTCATAAACAAGGACTCATTGACCATCAGAGAATTCACACTGGGGAGAAGCCCTATGAATGTAATGAATGTGGCATAGCCTTTAGCCAGAAGTCCCACCTTGTTGTACATCAGAGGACTCACACAGGGGAGAAACCATATGAATGTGTTCAGTGTGGCAAAGCCCATGGTCATAAACATGCCCTGACTGACCATCTAAGAATTCATACTGGGGAAAAGCCCTATGAATGTACTGAGTGTGGGAAAACCTTTAGACACAGCTCAAACCTTATTCAACATGTGAGATCTCATACAGGTGAGAAGCCTTATGAATGTAAGGAATGTGGAAAATCCTTTAGGTATAACTCATCTCTCACTGAACATGTGAGAACTCATACAGGTGAAATACCATATGAATGTAATGAATGTGGCAAAGCCTTTAAATATAGCTCATCTCTGACTAAACATATGCGAATTCATACAGGCGAAAAACCCTTTGAATGTAATGAATGTGGAAAGACTTTCAGCAAGAAGTCACACCTCATTATACATCAAAGAACTCATACGAAGGAGAAACCTTATAAATGTGATGAATGTGGGAAAGCCTTTGGACATAGTTCATCTCTTACTTACCATATGAGAACGCATACTGGTGAAAGTCCCTTTGAATGTAAGCAATGTGGGAAGGCCTTTAAACAAGTTGAAGGTCTTACTCAACACCAGAGAGTTCATACTGGAGAAAAACCCTTTGAATGTAATGAATGTGGGAAAGCCTTTAGCCAGAAGGCACACCTCATTGTACATCAGAGAACTCACACTGGGGAGAAACCCTATGAATGTAACGAATGTGGGAAAGCCTTTAATGCAAAGTCACAACTTGTTATACATCAGAGATCCCATACAGGAGAGAAACCCTACAAATGTAATGAATGTGGGAAATCTTTCAAACAGAATATGTCCCTCACCAAACACATGAAAACTCATTCTGAGGAAAACTCTCATGAGTGAAATGAGAGTGGGAAATCTGCTAACTGAAGATTTTTTTTAACCTTAGAAATACTCTGAACTTGAAGTATGTTTAAAAACAAAAAGACCCTTGACAAGAACATCTTGTTATCCATGAGAGGATTTGAACATATAACTTCAAATAGAAGCATGGATGGAATAAGATACCAAATCTTTTATGAAAATATAATTTTTAAATATGCAGTTATTATAAATGATTTACATGTGTAGATTGAAATATGAAGCTTTAAAAAAATAGGAGTAAGTTGAATAATCAGAGCAATGAAGAAACAAGTTGTATATATTTCACAATTACTGAGTTGCTTGGGTGTTGTGTACATAAGTCCACATATTAGAATTCAATTTGCATATCTGCTTATTGCCTTGTGTAAAGGAGTGTGGCCATTTATATAAACATCCTCTTTGATATTATCATCCAGCTCTTTCATAATGTCTATACAAGCTTTTACATTAACAGATTAACAGAAGCCTTTATAAAAAGCTTATTATTCATCTAAGTATTGTTAAAAGAAATGTTTTTAAAGCAAGGAAAAAAACAGGTGAAGATACAAATATGCTGGTCAGGAATGATGCTCAATATATATTAAGTCAGTTTTAAAAAAGGGATTGCTAAACCATGTATATAGTATCTTCCCACTCATGTACAAAAGATTATGTGTGTTTACCTGTCTCCCTCTCTGTGTATGTTTGTGTGTGTGTATACAAGTACTATAAATGTATATCAATAGATTTTGTTTAAAATTTTCAGAAGAAACTTAATAGTGGTTGTGACTAGGCACAGAAATATAGGACTGAGGGCTAGAATGAGAGTAAGATCTCATGTGTAGTATACTGTTTAAATTTTTATCATGTTTATGCCTTGTTTTCATAATTAAAATACTTTTAATATGCATAAATCAGCACTATTTTAGAATGTCACCAAACCCATTCCACAATGTTGCTGACAAGTTAAAATTTTCTATGCTTATTCATGAATAATGCTGAATATGAGGTATTTGATATTGAATTCACAAAGATTTTCCTATCAAATACAAGTTCTTTCATAACATAATAATTACAACTGTAACAGCACTGTGTCTCTTCTATTTTCTATTAAAGACTGAAGATGAACTATGGTTGCAAATTAATGAGTGTTTTTTTTTTTAAATTTTATCTCACATTTAAAGTATTCCTACAAAAACACCACAGGCATCCATTTAAAATATATTGCACTAAATACCATCACATCCTGTTCTTGCATAATAGCAGAAATTGTTAATGGATCACTGTACTCTTTCTGAGTGAGCTGAAAGTCAGCATTATAATCATTCTTAAGCATGAATTCCAGGAGGTATTATGAATCAGTTTGAATCTGCACAGGAGACCTATATGCCGTTGCATACCTAGATTTTTTTTTTAACCCTTGAATCATAGATAAAAAATTTAGGGCTGATGTTGTAGCTCAGTGGTAGAACACTTGCCTAGCATGAGGGAGGCATTGGGTTTGATCCCTAGCACCACATTAAAAAAATGAAATAAATAAAATAAAGGTATTTTGTCTATCTACAATGAAAAATATTTTTAAAAATTTACCTGAACTGTTTTAAATTTTAAGTTGTTATGTTAAAAACAAAGATGTAACACAAAATTGCCTTATAAATTATGAAATCATTTGTAAATTATTATACTAATTTTTAATACAATATTAACTATATGTAGTATTGTCAAATATAATAATATTTGATATATGTGTTCTTTTTATTTTTCATAGTGCATGTGTTACATCTTGTTTGCAAACATAGAGGTCAGTAATTAGGACTTGTCCTGTTCAATTTTGTTGAATCATAAATATTTCACCTACATAGTAATCTAGCATAATGAGGAGCACTGAACAAATATATGATTAAACATCATCTGCAAATATTTACAGTCCAGATCCTGCTTTCCTCACTTCATTTCAGAGAATTATAAAATCTATTGAGAATAGAATGTGTGTATATGTGTGTGTGTGTTCACACTTGTTTTGAAAGACCAACTCATGGGTCTTAGCTCTCATTTCCAAGTAACTTATTTAATTTCAGGGGAAGGAAACACAATACAAAATCCATTCTCACCAGTAATTTATCAAGTGGAAGTCTGGCCCTGTGCACAGAACGAGTTGTCACTATCCAGACCTGTAGAACAATCTTTAGGATGAAACGGTTGTAGGTTATGGCTATGTTGAATTCCCACACCTATTGGAGAACCCATAAGTGTCATGCCTGGAATAGTCAGAAGTACAGGTATGCCTTAACTGTAGAAGTGAATGCTTGAAAGACACTTTTGCAGTGAAAAATAAATTTTGGATCAATAAATGAGGAAATGATGTCAGAAAATAATTGAAGGTAAACAGTAGAAAAAAAAGAAACAGATGAATCTAAATCAATAATGCACAAACTTTAATGTATATCAAAATTGCCTGAAGTACTGTTAAAAGTAGATTTAAGTAATATAAATTCTTGGGCCCCAACCACAGATTTATTGATTCACAAATTTGCATGTTTAATAAGTTCCTAGAGGATACAGATTCTGCTAGTTGGGGAACCCACTTTGGAGAACTACTGGTCTAAATCATGAAGTACATTTCTTAAAAACTATTTTAAAACAGTTTGATTGTTATGGTTTGGATGTGAGGTGTTCCCCCAAAGCTCATGTGTGAGATAATGCAAGAAGGTTCAGAGGAGAAATTATTGGGTTTTAAGAGTCTTAACTCAATCAGTGAATTAATCCCCTGATAGGGATTAATTGAAGTGGTAGGGTGTGGCTGGAGGAGGTGGTAATTGGGTGTGGCTTTGGAGTATATATCTAACTTGCCAGTCGACAGACTCTCTCTCTCTCCCTCTCTCTCTCTCCTTCCTGATTACATGTAAACTGTTTCCCTCTGCTACACTCTTCTGCCATGATGTTCAGACTCACCATGAGCCCTGAGAAATAGAGCCTGCTGTCTATGGATTGAGACCTCTAAAACCACGATCCCCCAAATAAACTTTTCCTCCTCTACAATTGTTCCAGTCTTGTCCTTCAAGTCACAATGAAATAGCTGACTAAAACTGATATATTCCTTAATGTAAAAAAAAAAAATGAAAGGTCTTATCTACAGAATAAATTTCAGTTTTGAAATATTTATTTTGATTCAGAAGCCAACAAAACAGGAAAAACAGACACCAGCAAAACACACACACACACACACACACACACACACACACACACACACCTATCCTCATAGACCTTAATTCAAGAGAGGGAGATAAAGAAATAATTAAAATACAAAGTATGGCAGATCATTATATGGCAAAAAAATAAATAAATTAGGGATGAATTTTAAATACAATGATGGGAGGAGGAAGAAAGCTCACTTAGATGGTGACAAAAGCAAAGAGTTGGATAGGATGAGACAGCAAGTCACATATATATACAACGAAAGGTTATTATGGCATAAATCTTTTAGAATCTTAGGGTGTTGGAAGGAAAAGATGCTGAATTCCTCTGTCATAAAGAGGAAAATTTTGAATAATAAACCATGATTTTAAGAATAATTAAGTTTGCATCAGGGAGAAAACAATCTTTGTATACTGATTTTGGTAGTCAAGTTTGTATAACCTAGTAAATTAAATCTGAATGTATACACAAAACCTTTAAATGTCTGGTAATCCTACTTTTTTGAATCTCTTCTGCAATACATAGGGTATTCTGTAATATTTTATCAAAGAACAGAGAAATTGCATATAACTTACATTTCTAGTTAATTAAATTTAAATATGAACCAAGAATGGTGGCACATCCTTGTAATCCCAGCAACTCGGGAAGCTGAGCCAGGGAGCATCACAAGTTCTAGGCCAGGCTTGGCAACTTAGCAAGAATCTGTCTCAAAATAAAAAATAAAAAAGACTGGGGATGGTAAAGCTCCATGGTAAAGCACCCTGGGTTCAGTCTCAGAATGAATGAATGAATTTAAAAAATAAATAAAATATGAAACCATAAATAAAGGAAATAACATTATACATTAAAAGTTATGATTTTAAATTGTATTTAAGAAGATGCAAATGATCCTGTGATTTTTACCTGAGGAATATGTTTTACTGATACATCGCCAAGTTATCAAGTGAATTACCTAACATTGAAGAAAGCAAATGTTTTCCACTCATTCCTCCTTCCAGAAAAAAATTTGCTTACATTTTATTGACCAGAAATGAATCACTTGATGACCTTTAATGTGGGGAGCCATCCTGACACGTGACTGGGCGACTCCCGGTCTGGGTCTGAGGCCCTCTGGTGTGTCGGAGCTTTCCCAGCCCTCTCCTGATGAGAGAACCCGTCTGTGTGTGGGTGTGACTGACCACTGACCCCGGGGGCCCAATCACTGACCCTGACTTTGGAGTGCGGTCCCGTCTCAACCTTCATTGTATGGAATTCTCCCCTAAATTTCTTTTTCCCCAATAAAAGGCTACTCCCAGGCGTGTTCTCTCTCTCTCTCCTGCTAGCCCTGAGTAATCCTTGCTGCCCTGCTGGGCGGCTAGAGGTGGGAACCAGAGAGGGGAGCCGTCTTGGACCTGGCAATAGAAATAAGGTAACTGAGTCTGTGTGTTTTATTTCAATTTCTTCTAGCTAACTTTATGCCTAGAACCTCATTAATGAAACTATTGCACTGGCCGCTTTGTGGACTTTAATTTAAAAAAAGTCTTGAGGAAATGGAATCTTAACCTTTAATATTAAAGGAAAGAAAGACAAGGACATCTGAAAATGAGTGTTGAGCAAAACTGAAAATATGAAATAATTACCAAGTTAAAAAACAGGTTGCAAAATGATATGTACATTAAGATCACAATTTATATATAATGCTTATATATGCTTACATATGTTATGTATATGTTGGAAAATGCATAATGTCACCTTCATTGCAGAGACAATGGTCCTCTCCAGGTTGTGGGTGAAGAGTAGTTTTATATTTTTCTAAATAGTTTTTATATCTCCATGAGTTAATTTTACTGATATGGCACTGCACTGGCTTGTGGCATGATCTAGATGACATCCACCAGTTGGGTCATTTTGTCTACTTGACTGTTCAATGCCTCTTCCCTAGCAGATGTTCTCTGGTGGGTGTGAGCACAAAAAAAGGCTTTACACAAGTCCATCCACTTTCACATGCGTATACAGATCTCCATGTTTTTGCTCTTTTATTCTTTTACTTCCCAAGCCCTTGACCAGAGGTACAGGTCATTTGCAGTGGCACATGAGACTACTGTGTATCTTTTCCAAGCCTGAGCCACTTCTCATTCCACATAAAGTGGATATTCATGTCTATCACCTGAAGCTCTAGGTACTAGGAGGATTCCCCTCATCACTGTCTGTCAGAGTCACCTCTGGGTGAAGTGTACCGAAGCTGTCTTCTTCAGCTCACACTCACATACCAAACCAGCCCATGCAGAATCCCAGCTCCAGTCTTCTTCCCATAGTTAACTTTCAGAATCTCTTTGTAGAGCTGTAGATCTGAGATGAGAAAAGTGCTGGTGTAATGGGGATGCCATGTGCTTGCATCTTTTGTTCACCTCTTAGAACTCCCACCTCACCACACTTACAATGACAGTTAAATTTCAATGTGAATTTGGGAATGGATAAACCATAGCACATATAATTTTCTGCTGCAGATGGCCACACTTTGCTCCAGAATCTCAGGAGCTTATATTGTGATTCTGTAACTGGGCTTACCACAAACTCCATGTGGCTTCTCTTCCCAATACTGATACCTACAAAACTAAGCATTGAACATCAGTGTAAGAGGGTCTATTTATGCACTTTCTATTTTGTTCCATTGTTCTATTTGTCTATTTTGACATTAGATTACTAAAGCTTTGTAAATCTTGAAGTCAGAGTATGTTGAGTAAGATTTCTAATTTTGTTTTTTCATTTTCAAGTTTGTTTTGGCATATGCTAATTTTTCAGAGTATTGCCAGTTGACAACCATCTCCAATATTAGGTGTGAATAATTCCTAAGTTGATTCTTTTCACTGTTGATATTATCAATATTTTAAGTCTTTATCAATATGAAAAAGGTTCATTTTATATATACCTTTAACTATTATTTATAAACTGTAATTATATTGAGTT